TTCAGGTTAGATTGAGCGTGGGAGTTCCACCAGCTGTTTGCGAGGATTGCCATGGCAGGGTCATAGCTGAGTTCATGAAGCAGGCCAAGGTGCTTACTGCTCACTACTTTCCCTGTTACATGCTGCACGAATAACTTGTATGCAATTTTCCTCTGTGTCTTTTGTGCTCATAATTGCCTAATGAATGATAGGCTAGATTGCTAATATACGTACGCTTTGGGCCTAAACTTGCCTTTTTTTCTCTCTTTTTATTTTTTATTTTTTGGGTACAACAATTCGGGGATATGGGATCGAAACTTCCGGCCACAACGAAAGGAATACATGTCAATTACCGTTGAGTCATGCTCATCTTGGCAGTTAGAGAGTAGTTATTGTTATTTGTTCTTGCCTTAGATACCCAGCGGATATTGATATAAACTTCCTTTCTAGTTGTGGCCAGAAGTTTCATTGTATGTAGATGCTGGAATAATGTATTATATTATTGTTAGAAAAGAGTTGGGATATTTATGCATGTGTTGTTTGAGATACTACTGTTGTGTCCTATTTTTATTTTCTACACATTCTCTTTATCTGGTTCAGTGGTTCTTCAGCTGTACCCTCTACCTTTACCCTATGCGTAAACTGACAATCCATATCTACTTTTAAACTTTTCCTTTTCATTGTTTTGAAGAAAATTGACAGTTTTATGTTCTGGTTTCTGTAAGCAGATCCCAGGGTTTCGTCCTGGAAAGAAAGTTCCAGAAAGTATTCTTATAAGTTATGTAGGGAAGAACAATGTTCAGAAGGCCATTGTAGAATCAATTTTGAAGAGGACCCTTCCTCATGCCATGTCCTCGGTAAGTTCAAATTGATGTTTATTTACTCTTGTCTTTACTTCTTTATTTTCTGTTCTTATTAAAAATTTGATCGATGAAGAAGCATATGGAGCTGCAGCAATTAGGTTCACTTTGATTTATCAGTTGCTTGTAGCTCTGCTTCAAAAGTCGCTACTTTAAGCAGCTTCTCCCCCATACAGCCGAAAAATAATCTGAACCATAAAAATTATGGTTTGGGATGATTTTTGGGAGAGTGAAAAGTATTTCTGGCCAATTAAAAGCACTTTAGAAAATTTTCATGGTATTGGGTTACATAATCAAAAGTGATACCAAATATTCTTATAAAGCAAGTGTTTTAGGGGGAAGCACTTACTCAATACTTTTTCCAAAAGTATTTATAGAAGAAATGCTATATTAAAACACATTTTTCGAAAGTGACCCTAAACTCCTTATTGAGATGGATGCCAACCTACAATTAATTTTGTACTAGTTCATGGTCATTCTTTCCTTAGTTTTTGGGTCTAGTGAAATTTCTTATTTCTCTCTACAGATGATAAGTAACATTTGTTGCTATATCAGTTAACGTTTCCTATGCCCATAAGTAATTATTACTTCAAAATTTTCTTCGGTCCTTTTTTATGCAGAGAAGGATGGTACAATATCCATTTAATTTTTTATTTGAGATGGGATTATTTCCTATACCTTCTAATCCTATATATTTTGAGATGATTGGGAAGTTAAACAAGCTTGAAACTCCTCTTTGCACAATTCCTGGAATCATTTGTGCATGAGATGGTTCTCTTATCACATCCCTTGTGTTGTAGGTAGCCGGAAGGGCACTGAAAGACTCAGTTCGTATTGCCTCTAAATTTTCTGATTTGGAGCATACCTTTTCTTCTCAAGGCTCTCTCAGGTTAGCCATGGGTGCACATTTCTGCTAATTCAGTTGCACTTGCACAGAGCTTACCATTCTCTCTTAATTCCCTCGAGCTTTTCAGTTATACATCATGTAATAGACTTTTTTTCCTTGCTCGCTTTCTTTCTGCTTTAAAGATTATGGTGCACTAGTTATATATTTACTCCTCATTATTCTCTTCTATGGTTTATAATAAAGAGGACATTTATTCATGGGATGTAGTGACTTTGTGATCCAGATATGACATTATTGTTGACGTTGCACCTGAAGTCAGATGGGTTCCTGAGAATGGATACAAAAACTTGAAGGTGGTTGTTGAAATAGACGACGAAATAGGTGCTCAAAAAGCTTCCGAACAAGAATTAAAGCGCCGGCACAAGTCCCTTGGTTTATTAAGAATTGTTACTGATAGAGGATTACAGGTGACTGTAGTCTGTTGTTTATTGTCTTCGAGCCTGTTCCATTTATGTTGTTTCTTTTTCTCCATCATTTTTTCTCAGATATAAATAGGGGCTGCTCTTTAGTCAAGTGATACAGATCTGAAGTAACCAAAAATTTCTCTACCATGTACTGCAAATATATATGAAATGTTTGTCTCATGATGTCAGTTCTGATTCTGGAAGTAGTAGAAATAGAACAGAATTGAACGCTGGATGTTGCATACTGCACTTTTACTTTTACCTTCCATGACTTCCCATCAAATCATGGGAAAGTGAAAACTACAAGGTAGTCTTTTAACTATGGTGTGAACATTTAGACAATTTGACAAAATATGTGCAGATTGGTGATGTTGCAGTAATTGATATATCAGCAACAACAATTGGTCAAGACCAATCTAGTGGTCAAAAGATTCCATCAGCAGAGAGCAAAGGTTAGAATAAGCTCCCACTCATGAATACTTTTGTCAACATGTAATGATCGAGTCATGATAAGTCCTCTTCATTTCTTTCCTACCATTTTTAGGTTATAATTTTGATACGGAAGATGGCGATAAAGTCCTTCCTGGGTTTCTCGATTCATTAATTGGCATTCAACGAGGTGAAACAAAGTCATTTCCCCTTGTATTTCCAGAATCATGGAACCAAGAAGATCTCCGTGGTGTTCATGCTCAATTCACAGTGAGTTTCAAATTCATTTGAATTCCAAGGGAGCAAATATGTTAAACCAATGAGAAAATATAAATGATACTGGTGCGTTGCATATAGAATAGTAAGAAATGGCTTATTTTATTTTTCTGACTTTTTCTTTGACTCTTTAATACTTGTAAAAAATACAGTCATGTTTCATGCAATGAAGTAGCATGATTCAATATCAGAACATTGTCAAAGAAAAAAGAAGAGTTAAACTTGTGAAAAAGAGTAAAAAAATATGCTCAGACACGCACTATGTCAATAGAGAATTAAACATTCACAAATTTCATGTGTAGTTGGTCCTCTAGCGTGTAATATTTTCCTTTTTCTTCTCTCTTCTTGATTTTAGGTTGAGTGTAAGGAACTATTCTACAGAGAATTACCTCAGTTGGATGACTCCCTAGCCGATAAGCTTCTTCCCGGGTCTACCACCCTAGAACAGGTAGCATAATGCTCTCAATTGTCCTCCCCATGTAGCTCATAATGGAAATATTGAATGCTTTCAAGGAAGAGAGCTTGAAAGCGAATTAAGAGAAAAGAACACTATATTAGATCTCATGCTACAAATCTTCAGGTCAAGGAAGCATTGCTTCAAAGATGCCTTGAAGTGGAGCAAACAGCTAAAGATCAAGCAACGGACAATGCAATTCTTGACCAGCTTTGCAAGGTAATTGACCATCTAAAATAGCTTTACTCAAATTCATGTGCCTATCTAGACGTTCAGGCAGTGTGTTTGAGTGTCTAAATTTGTTTGCATAGATTTGTTTATTTGCATATATATAAGCATGAACAATATGGTTGACCATAACCATGACAACTTGATTGCCTTATTAAACCACTTCCCTCTTATGGGAAAGCTAAGATTCTTTTGCATCAAGTATCATTCTAATCTAGGAGGTTCAACTATAATAACAATTTTGATCACTCTTTGCTTGTTGTGGACTCAAAAACTTTTTCTAGGGATAGAGTATGGGATTGTAATTCTTTTTATTTATTAAAGAGCTCTTTTTTCTCTGAAATCTGAATATCAAAATTTTAGTTCTGCTGGACATGGTTGATAAAACTGATCTCTTCATGTCGTCAGACTCTCAGCTGGATATATTTGTTGAAGTTATATTATACACTTTCCATGCTTGCTGAGGGAGAAAAGATTATGACTAGGGGTTAACTGTGGGAATTTTGGCTTTTGAGAAAATAACAATAATAATGTTGGCACAAACCTTTCAGATGGTGGAAGTTGATATTCCTCAATCCATATTTGAGGAGCAAGGTAGGCAGCTATATGGAGCCAAACTATTGCAGATACAGGTCAGAACCTACAAAATGCCTGAAATGGAAGGGCATAATTCTAAAAATGTCCATTATTAATTGCAAACTGTGTACCAGTTCTCATATTTTTTTGATGTGGCACAGGCAAAAATGAAATTAAATGAACAGCAGTTGGCTTCTCTATCTAGTCCCAAGGCCGTGAAGGAGTACCTTGAAAATCAGAAGGACAACATTACGCATATTATAAAACAGAATCTGGCAGTGGGAGATTTTTTTAAACGTGAAAATTTGCAGGTATTTGTATCTGTATTTGATGGTTTTCTGATTTGTTTCAAGGAAAAACTCATTTTTTACCATTGGGTGAGTCGAGCCAATAACTCTTAACTTGAACAAGTACAAAATTGATGCCCTTTTCAAAGATTGTTTGCAAGAATATTCTTGTAGGTTCTAATTATTTCGACAGCGTTGAATTCATTTTAGCTGGGTTTGGTCGTTTTAGTTTTGAGTTTTTACACTTTTTAACTATTTAGATCTTGTGGGTAGATTAGGACATTTCTATGCTTGACTTTGCATCTTTGGTGGGTTGAATTCTGTGCGATTCATTTGTTTCATCACTTATTCAAATTCAAGTGTAAGGTTATCACTCCGAACATAGCTCACTGGAAAAGAGACCAATTACTTGAAGTTGAAAGTTTAAATCCCCAAATTCCAGTTGTTTAAGGTTCATTTAGATGAAACTAAATGTCAAACAATCAAAATTAATTTAATGAATTAAGTACAGGCAAAAAGAAAGAAAAATCTTTATTTTATTCTCATTTTTGTTGCAGGTTTCCACTGAGGAGCTCATCAAAGAGGTGGAAAATTCCATTGCTGAATTTAAACGTAGTAAACAAGAATATGACCAAGACCGGGTCCAGGAACAGGTCAGTATGACCTTGGCACAACTGAAAAACTTTTCCTTTTCTTTCTGTTCTTTTACTGCCTTTACTCAACTTCAGTTTCTTGAAACCGAATATTATATGAATACAATAGTTAGTCGAAAAATTTTCGGCTGCATTGTTGTGTATATTTCAGCTGATGGATCAAAACATATATATATCTTGCTCATTCTAAGTCGAAAAGAATATGTTGTAATAATTAGCTCCCTACAGCTATTGAAAAAAACTTATATCATCTCATTTCCATTTAGGTACAAGACATACTAGAGGGGGCAAAAGTGCTTGAATGGTTGAGAGAACATGCAGAGATCAAATACATAACACGATCATGACAACTAGTTCAAGAGAGGAAAGGCGAATGAGAGCGAGCTTATCGGTTTGGACACTCATGTATGTGTGTCAATGCAGATTGATACTTTCATTTTCCATGTTGGTCTCTTGAGCCATGGTTCCATAATTTGGCAGGAGCATTGCCAATCTCGAAATCTCGCTTCCTTGATTCGAGGATTTTTCGATAAAAAGGTTTATATAGAGCATTATTGAAGAGGGATGGGATGGGATATTGTAGAGTTTGTTATTTTAAGGAACTTGAATATCAAGTATGATTAATTTTGTAGATTCAAGATTGATAATTAATGTCAAAAATTTGGTGTAATCTTTGCTAATAATAAGAGTAAACTCGTCATTTTGAAAGAAAATTTCATTGAAGGTTAGTATTGAGTAAATGTGAGTGTTGGATTTGGTCAATCCATCCTTCCTCCAGTCCTCGCTGTTGGAAGGCTATATTGAGTGAATGTGGGTGTTGCATTTGGTCAATGCATCCTTCCTCCAATTCTTCTGGGTGTTGAAAGGTTATATTGAGTATTCGTAATCTGTGTCGTCCTTTTGTTAGGATTTTATTGGGGACGATCCGCGATGTTGTGTGTGGTTGGATTCTTGACTTCCATTGGATTCCTTATTGCAGAGATATGGGAGATGATTATTCATGATGTTGCTAGCTCTCTTTTGTGAGAGTCTCTAATTTCATAGCATCAGATGGCTTGTGGCAGTGGTCATGTATGTCCATTGATCTTTTGGAGATGCAAGCTTCTATGGTAAGTGTAATCTCTCTCTGGGGGATTGGAAAATAGTATTATCTGGGCTCTTGCTAGCTTGAGGCTGTTATCTATCTTGAATGCTTGGGATGCCCTTTTGTCCGAGGGGCTCGCATCACCGGCTGGTTGTATTCCTAAGCATTCTTCTTTAAGTTGGCTATTTTTGATTGTCTGTCGACTCGAAATTGTGTCCGGTCTTAGATTTCTTCTACTTCTGTTCTTATGTTCTTTGTCTTGATGGGATTGAGACTTGGGACCACCTTTTCTTCAAGTGTATTTTCTTCAAGTGTATTGTTTAGCATATATGTACGGGTGGTGATTGTGTGGGAGGGTAATATCATATGTTTTATAGGATATAGAGCTGGAGTTGATTTGTGTATTAGTAGAGGGTGTTCGCCCATACGTAGAGTGTGGAAGATTGCTTTGGCTACCTCTATCCTTTGAAGAGAATATAATTCTAGAATCTATTGGGGTGCTTACCATCCAACCATAGTTGTGTATGACTTGGCGAGATAGTGTAGTTTCTAGTTAGTCATTTTAGTTTTAGTTATTGATAGGTTCGGCATGAGATTGAGATTTATATTCACTAATAGGTTTTTATTTTATTTTTTATCTATGTGAGTTGTGTCTATTACATTGTTTGTTTGCTTAACATTTTTCTTTTCTGTTGGTTTTTATTTTTATTTTTATTTTTTTGGTCAAACTCTTTGTTTCTTTTGCATCTTGATCTCAAGTTGTGAGATCCCTCTTTTTCTTTGCAACATACATAACTTTTGGAAGAGCAGAAACCTTAAGGGGGTGTTTGGTTCGGGGAGTAGGATTTGTCGAGACAAATTCCTGGACATACCCCGTAGTTGAGTGAACTAGTATAAATCTTGTATCATTTCTACGCTTTCCCTATTTTTCTCTTACTATTGTGGTTGACTTATATTTACTTGACGAACTTTGTAAGAGGAAAATATTATTGGTAAGTAAATTTTCCCAACAAGAGAGAGTATGAGACTTTTCCTCCCTCGAGCATCCACAAGGAGAGGTATGTCATGCTTGAGAACCATAGGGACCATTGACATCTCTATTCCCGTTGTTCCACAGACAGGGGTGCAGCTAGTGTGGTCCCTTGAGGTGCATCATGGTTTGAGTACTCCCTTGAGGTGCATCATGGTTTGAGTACTGGATGTCAGCACCTTGCCTACAAGTTGTCATAGAGTTTGTAGAAGCGCTTGGACCAAAGTTTAAAGTTTGATTAGTGGCAAAACACATCCTTAGCCTACCTGCAGCCCATGTTCGAATGATTTAGATTCTAGGTATGACCTCTCATTTTTTTAAAATAAAGAAAAAAAACAATAGAATCATATATAATTTCTCCATTTAAAAAAATAAAAGAAAAAAATCATACATTTGTGATTCTCTATTATTTTTTAGAAAATTTTAAAAATTCCTTTATATATAAATATATTAATTTTAAAGAAAAGATAAAGTGAGATATTCAAATCCTAATTTTCTACGAAAGCAACTTTCTAATTTGACACTTTTAAATGATACAATCATCTTACCGTTTTGAACTTAAAASATTTTCTAATTTAATTTAGTTATGAATTTTGAGATTGCTAATTCATAAATTATTTTTACTAAATCATTGTTTGGATGAGCCTCAACCTCTTTAGTCGGAAATAGGTAATAAGGAAATTAATTAATTATAAATAAGAAAATAAATTTAATTAAAATTACGTGTAATAAATAATTAATTCATATATCGACAATTTTTTTCTTTATTTTTTCTCAAATGATCCAAAAAAAAAAATCTTTTTGTTCTTGGTATCTATTTCTTGCTGTTTTTTTTCTCATTTTATATAGTTGTTCATTTTGTTTCTACCATTTTATTTATTTTTTATTATCACTATCACATCTGTAAAAATTTTATGGCAAGATGGTAATTTTTGAGATAATATCTTTATTTACTCAAGTATCAAAATTTGTTTGTTACGAAGAAGTTGAATATTTACGGTATTTGAATGAGATTTAAAAACAAAATAGTTATAGATACAAACAGAGCAAATTAAATGAGAAAGAAAGAGAGAGCAACAAATAAAAGAGAAAAAAAAGAGAGAGAAAATGGTTAGAATTTAGAGGGGAGAGAGTGGGAAAAAACAAATCAATAAAGAAGAAAAAAAGAAAAAAAGTGAAAGTGTGGAAAATATGATCTTTCAAAGATTTTCATCTTTTCTCTTCTCTCACATAAATGTTCCATATTTCTCTCATTCTCTCCTCTCTCTCCCTTCTCCCTTGATTTAGTATTAGGTCTGTTCCTATTTTGGAGGGATTTGTTTTTTATGGGAATTGGTCATTTGACCTCTTACTTAGAAAGTATGCCCTCACCACCTATTACATGATATTCTGTTTTAATATTTAAACTCAATCTCATTTTTTTTTCCTCGGTGATTTTGTCTTTTTTATGTGTCATAATCACCTTTGTGATTTATTTTTCTGTATTTGTTACAGAAAATATGACAAGGATGATAAAGACACAAAGGTCCCTAGGACAAAATTTGGGAGGGCTGTAGTGAATAAGATGATAGAAGACTTATCCCTTATAAATTTTGAATCGAGTCACGAATTGGATTTAATATACTTAGTCTTGTATATAATCCAAATTAATAATCAACTTCAAATGATTATTAGGGAATGCGGTTTACTACTAGATAATCAAAGACTGAGTGTCTTAAGATCACTCTTTCCTCTCGAGTGCCTTAAGACCTTCTTAAATAATGTCTGGAGTCGACGTAGTGGAGATGACCTTTACGAAATAGTGACCAAAAAGCTTTTTTCTATGAGCTCGGTATACGAGCTGCTTTGGAAAGGCAGAAGGCCTCAATCTATGGAGAAAGGATTCGTCTCAATCGAAACAAACGTGGAGTGGTTGTTTTCAACCACAAAATTCCAACAGTTCTTTATGAAATTTTTAAAAATTCATTTCTTGTTCGTCGAATGCAATTGTAAATATTTTCATGTACATGTTTATGTATGTATTGTTGTTGATATATATACTAAATGAAAAAATTGTGCCCATTTTCAAGGTTTTACTATGGGCATTTGAATGATGATTGTGGCTCATTATTCTCCTATATTTTTTTGGATAAAGTATTTGTTTATTTTACAATGTGATAAGTTTATCTATAATTATTTAGTTTAAACATTGACGATGATTTAAAAACTTAGTGAAATTTTGACTCGATGTTGAACAAAATAATTATGATAAAATTTATTTGAAAATTGTAAAATATTAAGGGGTAGTGTGTTATGCATATGAATTGATATATGTGCTAATATAACATGTAGACTCTGAAAATATGGCATCTACTTCAAAAAATATAATTGCTGAATTGAACAAAGGGGAGAAGCTTAATAGGGATAACTATGAGATTTGAGCCATGAAAATCCAGTATATACTGGAAGAGCAAGAGGCTCCAGAAATGTTAAACAATGTGTTGCCTGAGCTTGAGAAGGGCAATAATGCTCAACATAGGAGGAACAAAGAGGCTTATAAAGCCTGGAAAAAGAAAAACTCACTTGTTCGCATAACTTTGCTGAGTAGCATGGATAACGATGTCATGCGTGAGTTTCACTCTTATGACCTTGTCCAAGACATATAAGAAGCGTTAAAGTTGAAATTTGGTGGAACTTCTATTACCAAAGTTAGACAACTTACTATTAAGTTTGATACTTATAAAAAACGCTCTAATAATAATATGAGACAACACATGAGGGAGATGTCTAATATGATTAGTGAGCTGAAAGAAGCTGGTCATGTTCTGATTGATGAACAACAAGTTCAAGCTGCTATTCGATCTCTTCTCCAAAATTGGGAACACATGAAGGTGCATTTTACCATAATAAGGGAATTTTAACTCTTACTGATGTTTCACGTCATCTTGAACTAGAAGAAGACCGTATAGAGGCAACAAGGCCTGACAACGCTGAAGCCTATGTGTCTGGCCATAGTTCATATGGGAACATAAGGCACAAGTGTAAACATCAGGGAGGTTTTAAAGGGAAATGAGATCACAAGAATAAGAAACACAAGCAAGGTCGGAATGACAACGGTAAGGGGAAATGTCTCATGATTAGGTGGCTATATGTAGGAAACAATGCCCAAGTGCCTGTAAAGGGGATTGGTTCCTGCAAGTTGAACATACGGAATGGACGCACTCTACTTCTGCATGATGTGTTGTATGCACCTGATATACGGTAAAATTTGCTTTCTATTACTTCCTTCTTAAACTTGGTAACACTTTTACTTTGGCTGGAGACTTATTAACTCTGTCTTTGAACAACATACATTATGGTTATGGTTTTCTTTTTAATGGTTTTATTGTATTGGATGTTGTTGAAACGATATCTTACAATTATGCAAGTTTTTCCCTTATAACATCATCTGTTGATGCCAATATTGACATGACTATGTGGCATACTAGATTAGGTCATATAGGTTAATATAGAATGACTAGATTCGCTAAGGAAGGTTTATTATGTACAAAATAGAATTACTTTTATGTGAAAGCTGTCTAGCGGGAAAAATGGCAAGAAAATTATTTGGTAAGG